GGATCCTGCCTCAGGATCCTGCCTCAGGAAGTGTCCCAGACTGGGAGAGGTGGGGGAGGGCTGGGGAGGGGCTGCCTCGGCCTGGAACAGAGCACCGGGAATCCCACCAGATTTTGGGAGACATCAAGGGAAACTGAGTTTTGGGGATCTCCCATGTCCAGGCTGCTCAACGAGGAGGTGAGAGCCTGTAGGGCAAGGATGGGACTCGCTGCAGGGTCTCTAAACGATCCAGGGGGTGCCAAATGTCAGGGCAGTGCGAAGAGATGTGGGCAGTGTTTTGGGATGAGGCTGGAGAAGGTTTTGGGATGAGGCTGGAGAAGGTTTTGGGATGAAGCTGGAGAATATTTTGGGATGCGGCTGAGGAGGTTTTTGGGATGAGGCTGAGGAGGTTTTTGGGATGAGTCTGGAGGTTTTGGGATGAGTCTGGAGGTTTTGGGATGAGGCTGGAGAGGATTTTGGGATGAATCTGGAGAAAGTTTTGGGATGAGGCTGAGGAGGTTTTGGGATGAGGCTGGAGAAGGTTTTTGGGTTGAGTCTGGAGGTTTTTGGGATGAGGCTGAGGAGGTTTTTGGGATGAGTCTGGAGAAGGTTTTGGGATGAAGCTGGAGAAAGTTTTGGGATGAGGCTGAGGAGGTTTTGGGATGAGGCTGAGGAGGTTTTGGGATGAGGCTGAGGAGGTTTTGGGATGAGGCTGAGGAGTTTTTTGGGATGAGTCTGGAGGTTTTGGGATGAGGCTGAGGAGGTTTTTGGGATGAGGCTGAGGAGGTTTTGGGATGAAGCTGGAGAAAATTTTGGGATGAGGCTGAGGAGGTTTTGGGATGAGGCTGGAGAAGGTTTTGAGATGAAGCTGGAAAAAGTTTTGGGATGAGGCTGAGGAGTTTTTGGGATAAGTCTGGAGGTTTTTGGGATGAGGCTGAGGAGGGTTTTGGGATGAGGCTGAGGAGGTTTTGGGATGAGGCTGAGGAGTTTTTGGGATGAGGCTGAGGTTTTTGGGATGAGGTTGAGGAGGTTTTTGGGATGAGGCTGAGGAAGGTTTTGGGATGAGGCTGGAGAAGGTTTTGGGATGCGGCTGAGGAGGTGTTGGGATGAGGCTGAGGAGGTTTTGGGATGAGGCTGAGGAGGTTTGGGCTGCAGCTGTGCCCTGTCCCCCCAGATATCTACGTGTGCATGATCTCCTCTGCTCACAACGTGGCGGCGCAGGGCAAGTACATCGCCATCGCCAGCACCACCGTGGAGACCGCCGACCCGGAGAAGGAGATCAAGCCAGCCTTGGACCTCCTGGAGCCCATTGAGCAGAAGTGAGTCCTGAGGCAGCCCCTGTCCCTCTGCTGGGACAGCTGGAGGCTGCCCAGAGCTGCTGAAGCTGAGTTTGCTCAGCACCCTGCACCGGAAGCGTCCTTTTCCAAACCAGCGCGCGGCGTTTTCTCCCTGCTGCAGGTTCGTGAGCATCAGTGACCTGTTTGCACCCACCGACCCCGGCACCGAGAGCCAGGTGAGTGAGGGCTGCGCCGGGCTGCGAGGGGACAGGCTCCAGCTCGGGGCTCCAACTCGCCTCTGCTTCCTTCCAGATCTTCATCTCGCGCACCTACGACGCCACCACCCACTTCGAGACGACGTGCGACGACATCAAAGATATTTATAAGAGGATGATGGGATCAGAGTTCGACTTCGAGGAGATGAAACGCAAGAAGAACGACATTTATGGGGAGGAGGAGCAGCAGTAATGAGAGTCTCTAATTAGGAGGAGTTTAAATCGGCTAATATGAATATATAAGGAACTTAATGAACACTGTACGAAATTCAATATTGTAAGGCCTGCTTTTGTAATCCCATCTCTGAGAGATTGAAGAGTACTGCACTGGTAATGTTCCCTTTTTGGATATCATGTGTTAATTATTTCATTCTAGTAGGGCTGCTGTCCAGAATCTGGCAAATTCCTGACTGATATTCCTGACTAACCTCGTAAGCGAAAGGCAGACTGAACTTATTATTATTTTTGCAGACGTAGACGTGGGTGCAGATTCGAAATAACTCATTGACAGCTGTGTCTTACCTTGTCTTTTTAATCATTTGTAAAACATCCTTCACAATCCTGTGCTTCTGGTGAGCTCGTAGATGTGACGCTGATGTCACTCAAACCTGATTATCAAGGAAAATAGAAACTGAGCACTCCATTATTGTGGACAGCATCCCTAAAAGTCTCTCCCATCAATCTTAACTCTGTGGCAAAGTTGTATCATGGACAAAGCCCACACCTATTGTAGCAGCAAATGTTGGCTTCGTTCTGGGCACAGAACTTAACCTCCACTTAAGCTTCTAAACCCGTTTACATCGGTTGGGACACAGCTGTGCCTCAGGCTCCTTTGTGTTTTAATCTTAATAAAATTGAGAGAACAAATTACAGAGCAGGCAAGATGTGGAAGTATTTTCTGTCCCCCGGTGGCTTCTCGGATGGACCAAACGGCGCTGCGGTATCGGCATGACAGAGCCTGTGCTTCTCGTGTCTCCTGAAGGCTCCAAATGATTTCTGTACTGCGAAGTAAAGCCAAATTCTGGAAAACCAGTCCTGGCCTCTGGTCTGATTCACTTCAGCTCCAGGCTGAGATCCTGCAGCGTCTGTGCCAGGGGTGAGAGGGGAGCATTTCCCGCAGGAAGGAGTTTCCTGAGGGAAACGCTCGGGGTTCCGTGGCTCTTTGCGGGCCGTGCTGCTCTGGCTGCGCTTGGCGGGGCAGGTGTGGCTCAGGCCGCGCTCGGTCCCCGCTCCCCGCAGCCACCCCAGTGCCACGGCTGGAAATGCAGCGAGAAGAGCCCCAGCCGGGGCTGCTCTCCATCCCCAAGGCCAGCTGTTCCCTCCGGAGCCATCCTTCCCCGTTCCCTGGCTGGCACCGCCCTGCCAAGTGCCAGGAGAACTGTGGGAAAGCCTGGCAGCGGCTCTGGGGGTGGCACGGCGTTCCCTCGGCGCTCAGGAACTGGGCTCTGCTCCTACGGCGCTCCAGAGCCGGGCCCAGCCCGCCCGGGGCTCCCCTCCTTCCTCCAGCCGCGGCTCGCGGCTCCTCCTCCTCCCCAGCTGCCGCTTCAGGAACGATCCTGGTGCCAATCCAGGAACGATCCTGGGGTGCCAATCCAGGAACGATCCTGGTGCCAATCCAGGAACGATCCAGGAACGATCCTGGGTGCCAATCCAGGAACGATCCAGGAACGATCCTGGTGCCAATCCAGGAACGATCCTGGTGCCAATCCAGGAACGATCCAGGAACGATCCTGGGTGCCAATCCAGGAACGATCCTGGGTGCCAATCCAGGAACAATTCCCAAGGTGCCAATCCAGGAACGATCCAGGAACGATCCTGGGTGACAATCCAGGAACGATCCTGGGTGCCAATCCAGGAACAATTCCCAAGGTGCCACTTCCAGGAACAATCCTGGGGTGCCAATCCAGGAACGATCCTGGGGTGCCAATCCAGGAACGATCCTGGGTGCCAATCCAGGAACAATTCCCAAGGTGCCAATCCAGTAACGATCCTNGGATCCTGCCTCAGGATCCTGCCTCAGGAAGTGTCCCAGACTGGGAGAGGTGGGGGAGGGCTGGGGAGGGGCTGCCTCGGCCTGGAACAGAGCACCGGGAATCCCACCAGATTTTGGGAGACATCAAGGGAAACTGAGTTTTGGGGATCTCCCATGTCCAGGCTGCTCAACGAGGAGGTGAGAGCCTGTAGGGCAAGGATGGGACTCGCTGCAGGGTCTCTAAACGATCCAGGGGGTGCCAAATGTCAGGGCAGTGCGAAGAGATGTGGGCAGTGTTTTGGGATGAGGCTGGAGAAGGTTTTGGGATGAGGCTGGAGAAGGTTTTGGGATGAAGCTGGAGAATATTTTGGGATGCGGCTGAGGAGGTTTTTGGGATGAGGCTGAGGAGGTTTTTGGGATGAGTCTGGAGGTTTTGGGATGAGTCTGGAGGTTTTGGGATGAGGCTGGAGAGGATTTTGGGATGAATCTGGAGAAAGTTTTGGGATGAGGCTGAGGAGGTTTTGGGATGAGGCTGGAGAAGGTTTTTGGGTTGAGTCTGGAGGTTTTTGGGATGAGGCTGAGGAGGTTTTTGGGATGAGTCTGGAGAAGGTTTTGGGATGAAGCTGGAGAAAGTTTTGGGATGAGGCTGAGGAGGTTTTGGGATGAGGCTGAGGAGGTTTTGGGATGAGGCTGAGGAGGTTTTGGGATGAGGCTGAGGAGTTTTTTGGGATGAGTCTGGAGGTTTTGGGATGAGGCTGAGGAGGTTTTTGGGATGAGGCTGAGGAGGTTTTGGGATGAAGCTGGAGAAAATTTTGGGATGAGGCTGAGGAGGTTTTGGGATGAGGCTGGAGAAGGTTTTGAGATGAAGCTGGAAAAAGTTTTGGGATGAGGCTGAGGAGTTTTTGGGATAAGTCTGGAGGTTTTTGGGATGAGGCTGAGGAGGGTTTTGGGATGAGGCTGAGGAGGTTTTGGGATGAGGCTGAGGAGTTTTTGGGATGAGGCTGAGGTTTTTGGGATGAGGTTGAGGAGGTTTTTGGGATGAGGCTGAGGAAGGTTTTGGGATGAGGCTGGAGAAGGTTTTGGGATGCGGCTGAGGAGGTGTTGGGATGAGGCTGAGGAGGTTTTGGGATGAGGCTGAGGAGGTTTGGGCTGCAGCTGTGCCCTGTCCCCCCAGATATCTACGTGTGCATGATCTCCTCTGCTCACAACGTGGCGGCGCAGGGCAAGTACATCGCCATCGCCAGCACCACCGTGGAGACCGCCGACCCGGAGAAGGAGATCAAGCCAGCCTTGGACCTCCTGGAGCCCATTGAGCAGAAGTGAGTCCTGAGGCAGCCCCTGTCCCTCTGCTGGGACAGCTGGAGGCTGCCCAGAGCTGCTGAAGCTGAGTTTGCTCAGCACCCTGCACCGGAAGCGTCCTTTTCCAAACCAGCGCGCGGCGTTTTCTCCCTGCTGCAGGTTCGTGAGCATCAGTGACCTGTTTGCACCCACCGACCCCGGCACCGAGAGCCAGGTGAGTGAGGGCTGCGCCGGGCTGCGAGGGGACAGGCTCCAGCTCGGGGCTCCAACTCGCCTCTGCTTCCTTCCAGATCTTCATCTCGCGCACCTACGACGCCACCACCCACTTCGAGACGACGTGCGACGACATCAAAGATATTTATAAGAGGATGATGGGATCAGAGTTCGACTTCGAGGAGATGAAACGCAAGAAGAACGACATTTATGGGGAGGAGGAGCAGCAGTAATGAGAGTCTCTAATTAGGAGGAGTTTAAATCGGCTAATATGAATATATAAGGAACTTAATGAACACTGTACGAAATTCAATATTGTAAGGCCTGCTTTTGTAATCCCATCTCTGAGAGATTGAAGAGTACTGCACTGGTAATGTTCCCTTTTTGGATATCATGTGTTAATTATTTCATTCTAGTAGGGCTGCTGTCCAGAATCTGGCAAATTCCTGACTGATATTCCTGACTAACCTCGTAAGCGAAAGGCAGACTGAACTTATTATTATTTTTGCAGACGTAGACGTGGGTGCAGATTCGAAATAACTCATTGACAGCTGTGTCTTACCTTGTCTTTTTAATCATTTGTAAAACATCCTTCACAATCCTGTGCTTCTGGTGAGCTCGTAGATGTGACGCTGATGTCACTCAAACCTGATTATCAAGGAAAATAGAAACTGAGCACTCCATTATTGTGGACAGCATCCCTAAAAGTCTCTCCCATCAATCTTAACTCTGTGGCAAAGTTGTATCATGGACAAAGCCCACACCTATTGTAGCAGCAAATGTTGGCTTCGTTCTGGGCACAGAACTTAACCTCCACTTAAGCTTCTAAACCCGTTTACATCGGTTGGGACACAGCTGTGCCTCAGGCTCCTTTGTGTTTTAATCTTAATAAAATTGAGAGAACAAATTACAGAGCAGGCAAGATGTGGAAGTATTTTCTGTCCCCCGGTGGCTTCTCGGATGGACCAAACGGCGCTGCGGTATCGGCATGACAGAGCCTGTGCTTCTCGTGTCTCCTGAAGGCTCCAAATGATTTCTGTACTGCGAAGTAAAGCCAAATTCTGGAAAACCAGTCCTGGCCTCTGGTCTGATTCACTTCAGCTCCAGGCTGAGATCCTGCAGCGTCTGTGCCAGGGGTGAGAGGGGAGCATTTCCCGCAGGAAGGAGTTTCCTGAGGGAAACGCTCGGGGTTCCGTGGCTCTTTGCGGGCCGTGCTGCTCTGGCTGCGCTTGGCGGGGCAGGTGTGGCTCAGGCCGCGCTCGGTCCCCGCTCCCCGCAGCCACCCCAGTGCCACGGCTGGAAATGCAGCGAGAAGAGCCCCAGCCGGGGCTGCTCTCCATCCCCAAGGCCAGCTGTTCCCTCCGGAGCCATCCTTCCCCGTTCCCTGGCTGGCACCGCCCTGCCAAGTGCCAGGAGAACTGTGGGAAAGCCTGGCAGCGGCTCTGGGGGTGGCACGGCGTTCCCTCGGCGCTCAGGAACTGGGCTCTGCTCCTACGGCGCTCCAGAGCCGGGCCCAGCCCGCCCGGGGCTCCCCTCCTTCCTCCAGCCGCGGCTCGCGGCTCCTCCTCCTCCCCAGCTGCCGCTTCAGGAACGATCCTGGTGCCAATCCAGGAACAATCCTGGGTGCCAATCCAGGAACAATCCTGGGGTGCCAATCCAGGAACGATCCAGGAACGATCCTGGGTGCCAATCCAGGAACAATTCCCAAGGTGCCAATTCAGGAACGATCCTGGTGCCAATCCAGGAACGATCCAGGAACGATCCTGGG